GTGGGGGTTAGGGTGGGCGGTGCAAAGGCCCATCCTGCTGCACTTTGAGAGGCGACGAACGTCCACCCCCATTACGGTACATCAAGATGTCACACCGCAGTCCTGCAAGTCCTCCTCGCGAGTGAGTGTGTGACTGAAGGAGACAGAAAGTGTGTGTGTGTGTGTGAAAGAGAGAGAGAGAGAGAGAGGGGGGGGGGAGGGGGGCGCATTAATCCGATCACAGCCCTGTGGCCGCTTGCCAAAAACCTTCCTGGTACGCTCCTCCTCCGTACGTTCGTTACAATTTTCAGATCCAAGCAGCAAAGATTTAGCGACAGCGAAGCAGGCGATTTGTTGGCGTGGGAATTGCGAGGAAATCAATGTCCTACAGTTATTCACAACCACCTGCCTCGTCGCCTCATCAAATACTCAGTGCAAACGAGATCTGAACAATTTTTGCACTGTTCTGGTCACTTTTATGCGGAAAAGCTATAGTAAGGCTACTTTTAGGAGCCTCGAGAGTAAATTTGTTGCTAGAGATAGATTTCACGCGAACTGTAGTCTTCATGCCGTCAATAGATGCGCTTTACCTAGGAAGCTACTAATACACCACCTTACCACAGCTCTACAGCTGAGATTTTTAACCAACATAGTTTTTGCTAATTCAGAGGATTGGCCGATCTCGCAGCTACGCTTCAACATCGTGTTATTTTTAGCGCATAATCGTCGTAACGTTGTAAATTTTAAACAACGAATCGCATTTTAATGCCAATTTTTTGCTTACCATGCGAGCCGAAAAGGACATTGAGCAATATTGATTGAAGCGGCGCAAACCCGAGGACAAATATACTTGAATCAAAAAGGTTTCTTTTGGTTGCAGGCAACGCTTAAACAGAGGCTGGGCGAACGAGGGCATTCTTCTTTTTCTTTTTAATGAAAAACAGAAAACAGCAAAGAAGTTGCAAAACTAACGCCCTCCAGATCGACGCAGAAATATGTGCGGCTTGGTGGTAAACTTCTTTCTGACATGCACATCAAACTAAAAGAAGCTTTTTTTTCTTTTTAAATACATGTTCTTTGTTTCTTTTTGTAAAATGGAGAGGCACCACCTGGCGGAAGTGAGCGGCTAATTCTGGTCGGAAGGAGTAATATATTGCTGCGGAACGAAACGGTCCGGTGTAACGCCGCCTGTGCGGACTCCTGGGGCACAGGTGTGAGCGAGAAAGCAGACAGAGAGGGAGAGGAAAAGGGGGG